TTTTTTTTTTTTTTTTTTTTTTTTCTCACGATTAATCGATTATATGATTTCCAATTTATATTAATTACATTTTTTTCAGAGTGTGATCTCATTTCCCGAGCAATTGGAACATTTCAAAAGTTACCGGGCGAAGCTAGAGGCAGCTATTGGGAAGAACAGGACAATGGAGATAGTAAAAAATGCTCTGTTTCTAGTCAGTGCCGGGACTAATGACTTTGTCGTAAATTATTTTACCGTGCCTATTAGGCGTAACAATTACACAATCTCGGAATACACGAGTTTCATTCTACAAGAAGCTCGGCAAGTTTTTCAGGTACCGACAGCTCATGATATTTTGTTGCGTATATGAAAAAAAAAAACATTAATTTTAATGAAAAAATGTTGTTGGATCGATTTAATTTTTGTTATAGTACGAACAAACAGCAATGTACGTTACTATAAATGTGTTTGAACTGTGCAGGGATTAGTGGACCAAGGTGCCACGCGAATAGGAGTAGTAGGCCTGCCTCCAATGGGCTGCTTGCCGATTGTAATAACACTATATTCTGAGGACCCAATTGCAAACCGAGATTGCATTGCAAATTTTTCGTCGGTAGCACGACATTATAATAGCATGCTACAAAATGAATTGAAGGAAATGCAATAGGAGCTTCAACCTTCCGGCTCTCGGATTGCTTACGTGGACATATTTGGACCGTTAGAGGAAATGACCTTAGGCAACACATATGGTGAGTAGTCAATGCTTTATGTCAATGTAAAATTATTATTATTATTATTATTTTTGTTGGGTTTATTTGGTGTGATTGTTTATTTTGCGATAATAACAGATTTTGAGGAGGTTAGTAAGGGATGTTGCGGGACAGGGATGCTTGAAGCTTCGTATATGTGCAATTCAAAGAGTGTCGTGTGTGAAGATGTGAACGAGTACGTGTTTTGGGATGCGATTCACCCGACTGAAAAAACATATTTTCTGCTGTTTCAAGAGTTTAGGCCTTTAATCGACAGCCTAGTTAAGGAATAAGGTACAATTAGGTTGCTGCAGGTTCATAATTATAGCCATTATTTAATAGACATATATATATATATATATATATATTTATATTCATATATGCGATTTTGTGTGAATTCTTGGTAACAAAATTGTTTAGTTTATGTAACACGTTGTGATGAACCGATTCTATAGATCTTGAATTGATGGGTTTTTCATGACTGTGTTCATCTTTTCTAGTGGGTTGTTATTAGCATCAAGAAGTACAATTTTGCAAAGTACTTATAAATAATATATGGTAAATTTGGGAAAAAGCCTAACCATTCGACTTTGTTCTGCATTTGACAGTTGTGAGAGGCCTAATAACTACTCTAATTAAAGTTAGCTATAACTCAGGTGCTTGAGATCTAGTTGAGCCATTATTGTTACACTGTTATAACTTATAACCAAAAAGAGTATCAATTAAACCTATTACTAACACAATTAAACTTATATTGCATGTTGATTACAAATAAATATTCTTTCACATAGTTTATTCTCAATTGCAAAGTACTTGAGAGCACATATCATGGATTTGTAGTTGAATAAATAGTACTACTGTATTGGCTTATAGTAATTATTTTGACCTTGATGGCCGCCCTCAAGCGTGTAACGAGTCCATTTTAGTGATTGCGTGGTCACGAAAGGCCTTGATTGAGTTGTTGTACCAAATTACTCGGCTAAAATTATATGAACGAGAAGAGTTAGCTTTAACAATCAATGGTTGGCTTCCTGTCTGGTGAAAGTAAAAATGGAAAATGTATAATAAAATAGCCAGTTAAATGGATTTACCTGATGGACGCCAGGCAAGGTCTCTATTCTATCAGTGATACACTGATACAGCTTGATTAAGACTGCGAAATGGTTGCAATAATAAATTAAAGATGGTTTAATGGATGTCTGTTTTAAGTAAATGCGTGGGTAGTTTAGTTTTTTGTTAATGAAATGCGTTTTAATGTACCATTATATATTAAACTAGTTAAACCATAGAACAAATTCAGTAGTCTAGTTGGTTAGGATACTCGGCTCTCACCCGAGAGACCCGGTTCAAGTCCCGGCAATGAAATTATATCTTTTATATTTTCCTTTTCTGTTTCATTTTTCATTTTTTATTTATTAACCAAAGATTGCATGAATACACCTTTTTGGAAGCTGTACGTACAACACATCTTTTTTTTAATAACAATAACGAAAGCGTAGCACATACCACGTAATTACTAAATTCAGAGTTTGAACATCGGATAGAAATACACTTTTAGTATGTGAACTTCTAACTCTAAGCATATGACTCAAACATTTGAGATCTAGAAGTGTTCATGTAATGAAACAGTCATGCTCTTTTAGTAATTTGCTGTACTATGGCCAGTAATAACATAAACAGCATGAACAAATTATACAAATACATAAGTATAAGAATAATGTCCAGGTTCATTTTCGGCCGTTTAATCAGCCAGGCTTTGAAATTAATCAATCAATCCAAGATTCGATGCACGCATTCCCAATTAATATGATTCTTCATTCCTACTGTTTATTAAATCAAGTGAACTTCCAGCTGTTAAATGTCGCTTAAGGTGATCGTGTTTGGTTATGATCCTTCTGCTTCACCATTTGAATTCCTGAAAAATCATAAACACAATAATTTTAGAGCAATACTCTAAGAGAGTATCCAGATGCCATAAAAATGTAAATTCATCAAATTCATGGTTGGTCTGGACTTTTACTTTGACGATTGCCTGGAGTCAAGCTGCATTGTCACTGGACCATCGTTAACCAAGTTGACCTTCAATTCAGGTGTAAAAAGTAAAATTAGAGAGAGAAAAAAAGAGAGAGAGGATAAAAAGATACGAATTAAAGGTGTTGTCTACAATTCTTCACTAATGAAGCATACAAGCGAAAAGAATAACTAAAAAGCACAAAGTTGCGTAGTCTCACTTTCATCATTGCTCCAAACACACCATCTGCACAGAAACATCAATCAGAGTTTAGAATGCACATATAATAAATTTTCTTATAACATGTATTTGGCATGGAGAAACTGGAGCCCTGTGACCCAATTGATTCACTAACTCGTAAATAAGAAGCCATATCCTATATCAACTACTTACAGTAGCTAATTTATTCAAGAGGAATTTTCAAGAAACGTTTGTACTGCATTGAATTAGTAAAGAAATGCACCGGGAAGCGTAAAAATAATGCACCCCTGTAATTATGAAAAAAAAAAAGTGGGGGAGGTCAAATGTTAACCTTATACGAGCAAAACAATGTTTTGGATGTCATATTGCAGGTCAAAACAAAATGTCCCCAATAATCCCTTATATGAGCTATTGGCTTTAGGAAATTCTCTCTTCCTCTCTCCCTCCACAGTCCACACACACACACACACACAAACATACCTTTAACTGCATCTACTGTGTAAGCTTTCTGAAATTTTTCGACCACAGAAGCATAAAATGGTTTCGCCACATCCGGAGGCATTGCAACATGAAAATCTGGTTTGTTTCCTTTCAAAATCCCAAATAACGTGAACTGACTCACTGCATCATATAAGAACCAGCCTATCAGCATCAACACTCGACGGTTCAAAAATAAAAAATTTCAACAACTAGCATAACGTAATATAGGAAATGGATAAAATGAGGAAAAAGATGAGAGGCAGATGATATACCTAAAAGAACTTCATAATTTCTTTGCACAACCTGTCAATGTTTAGATAGGTTAGCATTCTTCAGAAGCATGGCTTTTGCTTTTTATATATCAAGCAACACATTGGAAAGCTTTTTCTTTTTCTTCCAATTATGTGATTAATGCTGAAAATCGATACGCCGATTGGGATTACAGAAATAAGGAACATTGGACCCGAACTATACACACCAAACAAATACAGGATTGTGTATAATTTTGCCATCGCATGTTCAAGAATTATTACATATTTGTTGAGTAAAAATCAAGTTCATTACATCCAATGTAAATCTCAATCTACAAGGGGAAAAAATCTAAACGCAGCTAAGAGAACATAATAGACATTGCTCGTATCAAAATGAGAAAGCTATGAAAAGAAGTGCCAAAGAAATTACACTTTGGTCCCAAGTTTTTCCAGTCTTGTCATTGGGAAACAATCTCATGTTCAACACCTTGCGGCATCTGCAAACCCATCAAAATAATTAGAAAATACCAAAACAGAATTTCTCTATTATAACAGTTGCAGACAAAAAATAAAAATAACAAATAAAATCATTCATGTTCCAAATTAATACATACATGTACTCGGTGTCGGAATCCACATCGGTCTCGTGAAGCCCGACGAGAACAAGAAGGCCCGGCCCGATCTCCGACACCGTCCGGCCTTCAACCTGCAACAACCACAATCTCGGGTGGGGTGAGCTACCGGAAACTAAGAGTACGACGGCGTTTTGGCCACAACGAGCGTGAAATTTATGCAACTAATTATATGTACTGGAAGTCTGTAATTGTAAGCAGACCTCAACGCTCGCGGAGGCTACGCGCTGGACCACGGCTCTCATCGCTTCGATTGTCTGCTTCCTTCCCCACCCAAGGCTAACTTGATCCGTGCGCTTAGGGCGCACAATAGCAGAACGGCGCGGGGAAATTTGGGGCTGTTTGCGGTGGTGAAATGTGGTCCGGCGCCGGCAATGCGCAATCCCAAATCCGAGTGAAGACATGTTAGTGTAAAAAATCTTTTTAATTAAAAAAATATGATAAGTCGATCCACTTAACAGTTAAGAATACTACATAAAAATTGCTTTGAGGGTTAGGCAGACACACACAATAATTTGTGTAAAGTTATAGTGATAAGAAAGGTTTATTGGGCCAGGGCAAAAACCGTTATTGGTTCTATCAATTTTGGGTCCTTATGTAACATAAGTTTCATAATACAAAATTGGGTTTAAAGGCCCAATAAACCGCTTCTTCTCCTGAACTAAATAAAAAAGATGGATAAAGTTATCTAATTCAAAGGATGGAATAAAATAAGTCAATTTAAAAAAAAAAACAGATATTTATATTTTTAAAGGAATATATAAATATCATTAAGATATAAAAATAATAATTTAAATAATAGATTAATATCTAAAATTATATGAGTATAAAATAGAATTTTTATTGTAAATTATATATAACAATAATAATTGTCTTTCACTTTTAATAAATGCCAATAAAATCGTAGAAAAAGAAGTAAGACGAAAAGAATAATGTACTTTTCTAAAAAATTCTATTATATTTTTTAATAAAATAAATTTTGTCCAGGCTTTAAAAATAATTTTGTATTCAACTACAATTTCAATAAAATAAATATAGTGGCCAACTTTAAATCCATGGTCTAGTTAGATTAAAATTATCTTACTGGGCAATATTATTAAAATTTATTTCCATGTATAATGGCAAGGAAATATTTTTATGTGATATGGTTTAGCAAAGTGCAAATGACATGATTATTATTCAGTTAAAAGGAGACAAATTAAGTCGGTGTGTTATTATTATAGTCTCATTTGGGCATATGATGATTATTGTCTTGTAATCATAATAATTAAAGAAAAGTAGTAGAAAGAGTGCAACAAATAGAATTTCCTATATTGGAAATTGCTTTTGCGTGGCTCCTTTGTCAATCTGTTGCATTATCACACTCCTTTGGATTAATTTGGTTTATTTAGTGTATTTTATTTTTAATTTGGTAGTGTTTAAATATAGTCAAATATGTGTATTCATTTTACAAAATGAAACAAACCATCAAAAGTAATGTACTTTAAGAAGTTAGTGTGCATTTTATTTAGGTTAATTAAGTTGTAAACTAAATCTCAACTTTTATTTCAACTTCAATCTTTCGATTTTAGTAATAAATTAAAAGGCACATAATTTTAGTTTTTACAAACCAAAGTGTGTGATCATCAAATCGACTGTTAGAAGCTTACGTGTTTAATTTAGCTCATTATATGACATATAGATAGGAAGGACGACACGTTTAACATTAAAATAAAAGAAAATTATAGCCTTGCCACCTTAAGAAAAAAAAAATTGAGCTCTTGAAAACCCAATTTGCAATATTTTAAAAAAAAAATAATGAATAATAAATTTCCAACTTACTCCTACACCTTACTCCATGGTGAATGTCAACGTATTATAGATAAATTTGGCATCTAATTTGATTCTGAACCCATTTATTTATTATAGCATTAACATTTGTTATCTACATGTTGTAAGTCTTAGTTCTTAACTAATGAAAGTACTTTGGTTTTGTGATACTTTGTAACTATGAAAGCACATGAACATAAAATGTACAAGGGCCCTTTAGAATTACCAAATGCCAATAACAATAATAATGACAATAATAGTTCCTACTAATAATCATTAATAAGCATCATACAAGCTATTAAAAAATCTCCTTAATTAATATCAATTTTGTGACAAATTAAAATAAGCTTTCATATAACGTATGACGTACACGAGAAACCCTAAATTAATTGGCCGGGAAATGAGACGAAGACGAGCGTGATTTTGGCGAGATGGACGGTGAAGATAGGCTGGGCAAAAGTGAATTATACAGTTTTCTTTCATCGGGCTCTTAAAATTGATCTGAGCCGTTCATCCGATTTTCACGAACCATGTAGTTTTTGAGTCGTTTTACGTCGGATAATTTCACGGGCTTCACTATGAAGTCCTCAGCACCTTCTTCAAGACATCTGATAATATTAATATTTAACATCAATTAACAAAAAAAAAATCCCTCGAATTTTTTTTCTGGAGAAATTTGATAGTGTACACAAAATTCAAATCACCTTTCAATTCGAGGCATAACGTTTTCTGATGACATGATCACAACTGGTATTTCTTTAAAATTAGATGAACCCTATGTACAAAATTAAGAAATTCTCTATAGTTAGTAAAAATATTTATATACAATTTTTTTTTGTTAGTGATTAATATAACTTTCTCAACCATTTTTATTTATTTATTAATCTGACCTTAATCTTTTTCAGCAACTCATAGCCATTCATTCCAGGCATGAAATAGTCTGTAATTATCATATCTACTTTGAAGTCCTGAAAGACCAAAATCAATGTACACCCAAAATATCATTTTAATTACCTTTACAAGAAATGTTTCTGAGCAGCCTCTCAATGACATTCCTATCAACAAGACTATCATCCACAGCAAGAACATGAATCTCATGAGAATCTACAAGTGGAGCCACGTCATCTATTCTAGAAAAAACACTACCAATATTCATTGACATTTTTTTTTCAAGAAAATCCCAAAAGCCCAGATGAAGCAAAGCCCAAGTTTTTATATTTTTTATGAGTATCATGAAGAGAAAATGTGTATATATATAGAATGTATCTATATGTGACTAGTAAGACTGTTAGGCAAGTCTAACCGTTAGGCGATCGTATATTCTTAAATATGTATACTCCAAAAATTAATATAAATAAAAAAATTAGATTACAAAAGCATGCATATTTATTTGAAATTATGACAGTCTACACGTCTAACAGTTTAGTCTGTGTATGAGAAAAAGGGCAAAAAAAAGAAATATAAAAAGAAAAAAAGAAAAAGAAAATGAAAAAACAATTCTTGTGATATATATGTATGTGATTTTATTAAATAAAAAGCAAAATACTGTTGAGATTCGGGAAATCCATTATGGTCCTTATCCGACCTTTTTAATTTTTCGTACCAGAAAGTGTTTTTATCTAACTTTTCTACCATTTTATCTTTTCGCGGGATTTTGGGTTAACGGCGCATGGAGTTTTACTGACGTTGTCAGAAAAACGGGATTGGAATTGTGCCTCAATGCCTCATTTACTTTTACTAACGCCGTCAAAACTACTGTTGTTACTATCGATAATTAAAGGTGTGCATTTACACGTTTATTAATGACATATTTTTAAATTTATTTATTGGTAGATTTTTTTTTCTCTCCATAGTAATTTCATAAAATTGCCAGCATTATAATTTTAGCATTAAACATTGAAAAAACTATACAAACTTGATTTGTCATTATTACGTGTAATGTTTATTATATTTAAAATGAAAATTAATTATTTTATACATTTTTATAGGAGTCAACTAGTAGAAGCAAAAATTGTAGAATTAAATTGACCCTTTCAAAATATATTCCTAGGTTTTGATAGCTTTTATTTTAACTGTTTATCAAATCTTGCGGCACACTTATGGTCTTCCACTAGTCACACTAAATTTATTAGCCGTTATAAACTATTTAATGGATGTGGATTTTATATTTAAATCCAAACGAGAGTAAGTTCATATTGAAAAAAAGTCAGTAGAATCCTAGGCAAGAAAAATATTTCCCTCCTTGCAAGGTATAATTGATTCGCATAAATCAATTACATACACTAAAAAGGTTGTCCGTGGAGCTGTACATTTAAATATTATAAGGCTGTGATTGGTAATTAAATAAACGAGTTTACAGTTTATTTAGTTAGCTTATAGTTTACTGTATTCAAATTAACTTCGTTTGGTATGACGAATTTTTTTAAAAAGTTAGAGCTTATTAGATAACATTTTAAATAAACTTGTTTAAATTTTTATTTCAGCTAGCTTATTAACTAATTTTATCAAACATTTTTATCATATAAGCTAACTTTTCAGTTATAAGTTATAAGCTCGAAAATCATTTATAAACTATAAGCTAGTTTATCAGCTAGTTTTACCAAACTTAGCCTTAAGAATTATAAGAATTTCTTCGATAACCAAATAAGCTATAAACATGTATTCAAATAAGCTTTGTTAGGATGACATTTTTTTTTTTTTGTTTTTTAAGTTTGAGCTTATTTCATAAGTTTCTTTGGGTAATTTTTCAAATAAGCTTGTCGAAATTTTTATTTCAGCTAGTTTATTAGCTAATTTTGCTAAACACCTTTATCGTATAAGTTACATTTTTCAACTATAAGTCATAAACTATAAGTTATAAGCTCTAAAATCACTTATAAGCTATAATTTAATTTATCATCTAATTTTACCAAACATAGCATAAGTATAAGATTACATTTTCATACCCGTACAAGGTATATTTATAAATATTTTACTTTCCTCGAAGCATTTGGATAAAACGCAGATTCCACCAAATTTGGTTGACACTCAAATACACCTACTTTTCTCATATGGGATGAGAGACATGTTTCACTTTGTGTTTCATTACGTTAGATGAATGACATATGCACATGATGATGCCATATTTATGTGCTTGTCAATTATCTAACGAAAATGAACAAGAAATGGGCCATGAAAGTGGAGCAGAAAATCTTATCCCTATACGGAATGAGATACCATACATATTGGGCTCATTTCCTTTAAATAGAAACATGAGTGTAGCATCTCATCGTGAACTATATCCCCGAATTGAGTTAGGCCATTTGAGAACTCTAGTTCGAGCTAATTATTCCAAGCAAAACGACCTCCTATCAACTGATCCATTCATTCGAGCTATCCAATCACTCCGATTTTTTGAAGCGAGCTTATTACATGCAAAGCTTTGTGTTTGCAAAGTAAATACCCCAATATTGCTTGAAGTTATATATAAATGTGCACCAAAAAGGATTTTTTGTGCCAATGTGCATGTGAGAATAAAAACGGGATAATATTTTTGTACATGTGAAAGGTATATCTATGTAAAGTTTACACTTCTCTCAAAGATAGGATCGATACCAACCAATTTCGAGTAAGATCCTTTCAAAATACTCTAGAATCTTTTTCTTATCTTATATTCCTCTTAGAAGAAGTTTAGTATTCAAAAATTCCTAACTCGTCATAGGACCAACACCAGGTTCCATATGTTATCTTTTTAAACGATAGAAATATTATATATAAAAAGCACAAATGTGAGAAAGTACAGCCACGAGCTGAATACATACAGCCAACGGCTGAATACAACCAACCAACAGGTGAAAAACTGGGAGGACAGCCTAAAGACTGCCTAGAACCGACCCCAACAGGGTAACCTAAAAACTCAAACACCACAACGACACTAAAACACTAAAGAAACCTACAAATGGCCCCAACAGGGTAATGCCCGAGTGTATTATCCCAACAGGATAATAAAGTTACACTCGTGCTAAATGAGGCCAACGGCCCAAACCTAAAACACAGACAACACAGAACAAATAAACGAAACATACGAATAACAAAAACTATAAACTAAAAAACAAAGCCTCCCTCAGCAGATAAACCCGAAAAGAACAGCAGACAAGACCGATTCCGAGGAGAGCTCCGAGGCTCTGATACCACGCCCGCCACTGCAGAAGGCCTAGCAAGACGATAACCCAAACCTCATAACAATACGAAAAACCGTCCCGCACACCAACCGCCAGAAACCACAATCGACCCCCACACCACTAGCCAATCCGGCTCCGTCCCGAAACTGCCTATCAACACTAGCCAATTCCGGGAACCGTCGGCCTCTCACGAGCTCGGAAACAAAGAAAGGAGAGGAAGGGGGTGAATGGCTAGTGTGTGTCTCGTGAACCTTTCCAAGTGTGTGTTTTTGCTTCTTCCCAAAAAGTTCACATAATTTATGTTATTTGTACATATATGTTATTTAACATGTATCAGATGTTTTTAATATTATAGATAGGCATAATTTATATATTTTTTTGTTTGAGAAGATAATTTTTTTGTATGTCGCGTAAAGTCATATATAATTTTTTTTCGTGAACCATTAAAAAACCTAACAAGAGGAAGGCATGGGGATGAATGCTTTCCTTCTTAGACTTTCGAAAGTACGCACCATACTGAAAGTTCTCAAGAAATGATCAATTCAAAGCAAACTCTATGTGATCAGCAGGCGGAAAGTAGACTGGCATTCGTCAATTACATCGAACCTCCCCGGCACCTTTACAGTCGAGATCAACAAGCCTCTCCTTATCAGTCGAGCCGCTACGCTCCCCTTCCTCATCATTTTTCCGCCCGAATCAAAACTGTCCGTCTTGCCTTGTCCAGGCCCCGCCTGCCCTTCTTTGACCCGATCAAATCTCATAGAATCCTCTTATCTTCGCTGAAAGAAACAAATTTATATTCGAGAGAGGAGCATGGGTGAAATTAGACGGGCAAGAAATTTTTAAGACGCAGTCATAGAATCCTCTTATCTTCGCTGAAAGAAACAAATTTATATTCGAGAGAGGAGCATGGGTGAAATTAGACGGGCAAGAATGGGTGATATTGGGGGACAGCTACTGTCAGTCTGGAGGTACTTTAATTCTTCAATTTAATTTTTAATTTTCTTTTGGTCAATTTGGATCTGACGAATGCATAAAAAATCAATCACAGTTCATAAATGTCGCTTACGAGCTGAAACGAGAAATATGAATCCTGAAAGGCATATCGGGTGCAGTCAGGCCCGGCGAGATCCTGGCCATGCTGGGCCCTTCCGGCAGCGGCAAAACCACCCTCCTGACCGCCCTTGGCGGCCGTCTCTCCGGCAACATCACCTACAACGGCCGGCCATTCTCCTCCGCTGCCAAATTGGCCATAGGGTTTGTCACCCAAGACGACGTCCTCCACCCTTGCCTAACCATAGGCGAAACCCTCATCTACATGGCCCTATTACGCCTCCCGTCCAACCTGTCCTCACCCGAGAAAGTTCGCCACGCGGCTGCCGTCGGGGCCCGTCTCGGGCTTTCGAGGTGCTGGGACAGCATTGTCGGGGGCCCGCTCATGAGGTGAGTTCCGGGCGGGGAAAGGAAGCGTGTTAGTATCGGGCAAGAGATGCTCGTGAACCCGGGGCTTCTGCTGCTCGACGAGCCGACTTCTGGGCTCGACTCGACTAATGCGTCGAGGCTCGTGTCGACGCTGCGTGAGCTGGCTGATGGAGGGAGGAGCGTCGTGATGACGATCCACCAGCCGTCGAGTAGGAATTTTTACAAGTTCGATAAGGTCCTTTTGTTGTGCGAGGGGAGTCCTCTGTTTTTCGGGAAGGGGTCGAGTGCTCTCGGTTATTTCTCGGGAATCAGGTTTGCCCCGAACGTCGCCATGAATCCTGCTGACTTCTTGTTGGATCTTGCCAATGGTGAGTTTTTACTTCTCGTCTGGTTATTATTAGTGTTTCGATAGACAGAATGATTCTGTGACGAGACTGGACTGTAGTCATTTTGTTTACTTTTCTTAATAATGTTTGGACTTTTGATTTGAATTAATGGTTAGATTGAGATTACTTCCTCGTTGTCCATTAGGTGTTGTTTCGACTGTGGATTCGGACAAGGATCGAGCTGAGATTCAAGAGACGTTGGTGGCGGCTTACGCGACGAATTTATCGAGTAATGTGAAATCGCAAATGAATAATGTTGGAGATGAAGGCGCTCGGTTGAATTTCCCACTACACGATAAGCAGCCGAGCATGCGGTGGCCCAACAATTGGTGGTTACAATTCTAGGTGTTTTTTAGAAGAGGGATCAAAGAACGGAGGCACGACTCGTTTTCTATACTCAAGGTCGTCGAGGTTCTCATCGTGGCTATTGTGAGCGGTCTAATCTGGTGGCAATCCAACACCAGTCACTTACAAGACCAGGTCACACTCATTCTTAGTTAATTAATGGTTTAATTTAAATATAGTCAGTATTTTATACGCGGTGACACAAATAGCCAATATCTTTAAGAATTGGCAATAATAGTCAATAGCTTTTAAAATTTCGGAACTATTACCCAATTCCGACTAAATTCAACAGCTATTATTGTCATAGCCTAAAAAGATATCGGCTATATTTTGCTATTTATCAGCCGAATTTGTTTAATATCTCCGAAATTTTAAGGTTGTAAACATGTTTGCTATTATTGCCCGTGTTTGCTATTATTGCTAGCGTGTACAAGATATAGTTACTATATTTTGTAATTTGGCCTTAATTAATTACAAATAAACGGAAACTTTGCATCTTGGCGGCAAGTGATTATGTTTGAAATTGTGAATGAAATGTATGTAGGTCCGGTTTTTCTTCTTCTACTCGTCGTTTTGGGGCTTCTATCCTCTATTTCAAGCTATCTTCACTTTCCCTCAAGAATGCACGATACTTTCCAAAGAAAGGTCTTCCCGAATGTACCGATTGTCATCCTACTTCATGGCTCGGACTCTTGGTGACCTGCCAATGGAGTTAGTCCTTCCCATCGTAGCCTACACCATAACCTATTGGATGGCGGACCTCAGGCCGACAATAGTATCCTTTTTGTTGGGCCTACTCGTTCTTTTATACAGTGTGATGTGCACTCAAGGGCTCGGGCTTGCACTTGGTGCGGTGGTCATGGACTCAAAATCGGCCATCACGCTTGGTTCGGTTACTATGCTGACATCATTGTTGTCCAGTGGGTACTATGCTCAGCACGTGCCTAAATTCGTGGGCTGGATTAAGCACATCTCGATTCCTCAATACACGTACAAGTTGCTTTTGGCTTCGCAATACTCGCCTGGCGAGACATATCCTTGTGTCGGTAATAAGACTTGTCGAGTCGAGGATTTTCCGGCTATAGCAACTGTCGGGCTCGATGGTGTTGTCATTTCTGTCATCACTATGGCTGTGTTGCTTGTGGGGTATCGACTCGTAGCTTATATTGCTCTCATGAGGATTGGTAGGAATTATTAGACTTTGAATTGATGACGAAAAAAAAAAAAAAAAATCTTGCGTTGCTTGGCTATTTGAATTATTCTTATCTTGGATTGGATCAATGGCTATTTTGCTAATTTGTTTTTACAATCTTAATTTTTGATATCCAACAATTGGCTTTTTTTTTGGGCAGGAATTCAACAATTATTCAAAGTAAAATTTTTTGGGAGACAAATGTATTTTTAAGTTACTTTCTTGGACTTGTTATGCACTTTTTTGGTTATGTGATTAACATGCAGTTTTTTATGGTTTCAAGATGGTTGATAATATATACAGTAAATTCTGCAAATTTTTTTTTATCATGTTAACATGCAATGACTTTAAAGTTTAATGGTGTTTGATATAGCAAAATCTTTTTTGTTGATCAAGTTATATTCAATGAATTTGTGGTTTCTAACAAAACTTAAAAACGATAAAAAAAAAATCAATACTTCACGATAATTTTTTAACCATTATCTCATTCATTTGTGCTATCAAACAAATACGAAATCAAGGGCTCGGGCTTGCACTTGGTGCGATGGTCGTGAACTCGAAATGGCCATCACGTGATCATGTTTAAATTTGTGAATGAAATGTATGTAGGTCGGGCTTTTCTTCTTCTACTCGTCGTTTTGAGGCTTCTACTCTCTATTTCAAGCTATCTTCACTTTCCCTCAAGAATGCACGATACTCTCCAAGGAAAAAACTCTTCCGGCATGTACAGATTGTCATCCTACTTCATGGCTCGGACTCTCGGTGACTTGCCAATGGAGTTAGTCTTTCACACAATAACTTACACCATAACCTATTGGATGACGGGCCTTAGGCCCACAATAGGATCATTTTTGTTGGGCCTACTCGTTCTTTTATACACCACTCAAGGATCCGGGCTTGCACTTGGTGCGGTGGTCATGGACTCGAAATCGGCCATCACGCTTGGGTCGGTTATCATGTTGTCCATGACCACAGCACCAAGGGCAAGACCGAACCCTTGAGTGCGCATCACGCTGTATAAAGAACGAGTAGGCCCAACAAAAAGGATGCTATTGTAGGCCTGAGTCCCGCCATCTAATAGGTTATGGTGTAGGCAACTGTGGGAAGGACTAACTCCATTGGCAGGTCACCGAGAGTCCGAGCCATGAAGTAAGATGACAATCTGTACATGCCGAAAGATCTTTCCTTGGAGAGTATCGTGCATTCTTAAGGGAAAGTGAAGATAGCTTGAAATAGAGGGTAGAAGCCTCAAAACGACGATTAGAAGAAAAGCCCGAGAGTGTGAGTACAATTATCAAGAGTATGAGAACCCAGGGAAGATCGAGAGTGTGAGTAAAAATATCAAGTAAAGGTCCACTACGTAATCAATGTTCTGAAGTTGAAGTAGCAGTTCCTTGTTGCCTAATCGGGCCAGTTTAGGATCATCTACCTGAGGTGGTACAGAAATAAACTTTTAGAACTCTATGGAATTCATAAAAAAAAAATAAAAAAAAAATAACAGTTTAAATACATGATTAGCCTCAAGCCTGAAGTTAAAGCTCCCAATACAACAAAACCAGCAAAAAACAACTGAAAAATCCAACCAAGAATTAACAACAAAATTTAAAACAAACCAATTTCTTTTGCATATTAGAAAATTGAGTTGGTAAAAAAGTTTTACCAAACAAATTTTATGAGATTATAAACGCCTTCAGAATGTTTAAAGAGCTCAGTCTCACAAACATCCTCTTAGTTTTTTTTTTTTTCTTTTAGAAAAAATTGCTCAAAGTATTTACTTGAGGTGAAAATGACAATATTTATTGCACTGTTCAAAACTAAAAATGCCAAATTACGAGGAATTTACAATTTCGAAAATTTCCTAGTAGAGCATTAAATTTGAAATTTGAGGTAATTTTCCATAGTCCTTCTAACGTTGGTTTTGGAAGCCCCACTCAAAAATGATCCCAATCAATTTTCTTGTTGGGAAGCATCAAATTTGTTGCCAGATGATCACAGTCGGATTTCTTGTTGAGAAGCATCAAATTTGTTGCAACACAGGTCCATTTCTAGATAGTATCACTTCACAATCAACTTCACAAACAGAATTTCTACGTACGCCACCAATAATTTTGAAAATTTGTCCTATACTTATGAATTTTGGAAAATAACTATTAACTTATTTATTTTAAGTAACAATTAAAGCAATATATTTTTTCTCAAAATTAAAAAATACAAAAAAAAATGTGCGGATTGCGTTGCACGGTGGGGTTTATTCCTCAAATCCTTTTTTCTAAACTTTATTTTAAATATTTTTCCTTCAAAATTAATCATTTGATTATAATAAAAAAAAAGAGAGAAATACAAAGTATATAAAAAACAATATGTTATTAAATATTAGTCACCTTTAACGCAGAAAATTCACGTTTTAGAAGCTCACAAAACTTCCCAATCACCCGTTTACACTCTCTATCCCAACATATGAAAGTGCCATTTGTAGAAGCATCAGCGACTCCAAATTGAATCTTGTATTTTTATAAATAGGAAAGGCATGTCATAAAGTACCAAATAATATAATAAATAATTAAAAATTATTTAATATTGAAAAAAAAATTATTTTAATCGTGCAGTGCCATGTGTATGGGTGCACTTGGTGCAATGCATCTCGCCATCCTCACTCTCCATCTTGCTATTGCACCTTTGCACACAAGGTACCACAAATTATCAATAATCGAGTCGATTGTGGGACAAACTCATGTGTCCATAGCCTTTAAATAAAAATATTAAAATTTTAATCATAGCAATAAAATATGTATAACATATATATGGAATGATTTTATAAACTATAATTGAACTATATTTTTTGTATTATGGAATCAGATTTTAGCATTTATATTGAAAAAAAAATTACTATCAATAAGAGAATTTTTGATAGTAAATTATAGAATTTTTTTGCAAATGAAGTGGACTTTTTTTTAGAATTTTAGTTTTGTCAAATTACTATCAATAAGAGAAGAATCGTAAATTATAGAATTTTAGTTTTGTCAAATTCCTACCATAGGTTCAATTTGCATTGTATTAGCAACGAAGACAAACGAATGGCCATCTCTAAGAATATGAAAACATATTCAAATCCCAAGTTATAGAATAGCATCAACTCACCAGCATAAATCCACAAATGCCTCCCACAAACAAGCGGTTATAGTCCCCAACATTGCGTAGAACCTTACTAATTTCCACTTCACGTCTGTCACCTGCACGGCCTCAGTGCAGCGCTAAAGTTCCAGTACTGCAGAATACAACCCCCTGTAAAATGCAGGAAATTATTTCACAAAGAGAAACAAGAAGAAAATGGATGGATAAATACTAGATTTATGTGATAGTATCGTTGAAAAAATCCAATACATATAGACAATTTTAAAATTGGCAAGAGAATTACTAGATTTCATGAGCTAACCACACTTACATCCACACATCACACAATGCTCAGCTCCATTTCAAGCCCTGCTAAATTTATATCAATCTTACATTAAAATTTGTTTCTGAAAAGTTACCTGAGAACATTTCACCAACTGCCTCCGTCTGTCAGTCCTCCGCCGCTAGCCTCACCATTCCAGCTATGAATGAGTTCCCGGATTCTGGCCGGCGCCTCGGGCTCGGGAGAAGATTACTTTAGCAAAGAGCATTCACGAAATTTACAAACATTAGATCATAAGAAAACACCATAGTAATGCGCTGTAGGGATTTTGATGAAATGAACACCATACAATCAATCACCAACAACAATTTTGATATTCCGAAACCCAATTGGTATCAGTCAGTGGACAAAAATCTTTCTCACACACATATATATTTTTTACCCGATGGCAGCGCCACCCCGCCACGGCGGCGGAGCACGTAGTGGAGGAAATCGCGATGGGTGGTTGGGAATAAGTGCGCTCCTCACAGAATGTTATGTATAGTGGAAAGCAAAAATTGGTTGGGAATTTGGTAGGTGGGTGGTTGGGAATAAGTGCGCTCCTCAAAGAACATCTCAAGACTTAGGTAGATCACATAAATGCTGCATTTTTTTTTTTAAATAAATTATTTATTCAACTTTCGAAATATATCTTTTGTGATATTCCGGAAATCTGTATTCAATCTTTGGTTGGTGAACATCTCAAGACTTAGGTAGATCACATAAATGCTGCATTTTTTTTTTAAATAAATTATTTATTCTACTTTCGAAATACTCCCTCCTTTTTTTAATAGATGTCGTTTTGAGAAGTTGCACACTAATTAAGAATATTTTTTTTTGCCAATAATAACCCTCATTAATGAGGATAGAGATGAATGTTTTGAGAAAATATAAAGAGTGAATATGAAAAGACGTAGTGTATTTATTAGCTAGATAAGGGTAATAATGGAAAAATATGTACAAAAGATCCAAAACGTCATTTATTTAGACAATTGTTGATAAAGCCAAAATGACATTTATAAAAAAAAGGAGGTAGTATATCTTTTGTGATATTCCGGAAATCTGTATTCAATCTTTGGTTGAAGATTGGTGAAGATAGGATCTGCATATTTTAATTTGAGTGCGTATTGAATTGATTGATAAATAGAGGATATATTAAACTTTTTTCATAAATACTATTTTGGGTTCAAAGAGCTACTCAAATAAATTTTTTACAAAATAAATAAATTAGTAAAAATTGGAAATGAAGTTCTAAGTCTTCTGTTGGCTTACAGCGCGTAGCCNAAGAAATCAATTTGCTAACATTACAAAAATCAATTTTTTCACAATATAGGCAGTTAGACACTAATCAATCGAGTAATTCTAAAATTTATTCAATGTGCACAAGTTGAGCAATTGTTCATTCAAATCATACGCAAGATTGAGAAAGATTACCATCTAATCCATGTAGGATGGACTGCATAGTTGCATTAGATGTTTAGAGACTAGGAAAACCCTATACACCTGAAGAATTATTATTAACCTGGACTATTTACAATAACCCTAATAACCCTAGAATGAACCATTGCCAATGATCCAAAGCTAGTCGAGCGCCACGCCTGAAAATATCCCGGCAAGTAGAAAAACTACTAACATATTGCCCAACGCATTTTGCTCGGGTGCCTGCAAAAGTACCAAATCCCCATCCACAATAAATTAAACCCCAAAAATGATCATCGGATAAACAAAATCGAATTTTTTGTGATTTTCTTGTTTTTTTTTTCTTCTCTAATTTTTTCGACTAACCTTGTACCCTTTGGAAGCCACGGTCAGCACACAGACCGCTAAATACCCGTTTGTGAGTCCCATAAAAGGGCCTCATGTTCGCGTGCCTGTCTCGATTCTTGCTCATCCCATGTTTTTACTTCACGGCAAAATATGGAGACCAAGGATGGATGATATTTTTGGCGTGTGCGGTGTGGTTAATCCTTATGTTCACGGTATTTTTTGTGATTTTCTTGTTTTTTTTTCTTCTCTAATTTTTTCGACTAATCTTGTACCCTCTGGGAGCCACGGTCAGCACACAGACCGCTAAATACGCGTTTGTGAGTCCCATAAAAGACGCCAAAAATATCATCCATCCTTGGTCTCCATATTTTGCCGTGAAGTAAAAACATGGGATGAGCAAGAATCGAGACAGGCACGCGAACATGAGGCCCTTTCTGGATTCGAGCTTTAGGCAATATATAAGAGGAATGTATCGTGCTATGAGGTCCACAAGTTGAACATTGCTATGAGAACCACCGCATACCTGTAAACATTGAAAATTATACTTTGTGAGGCCCTTGATATTATGAAAAAGGATAATTTTTGTGATTGAACAGCAAGAAAAGCCATTAGAGCATAGCAAGAACAACTAATGCTCAGTGTGTTATTGTGCTTGTTATGAACTTAGGATCAAGTTTACCAAGATCCCAATTTGTGGTTGCCTGTGTTTTCGTATAAGAACCCAGGGAAAATCGAGAGTGTGAGTACAAATATCAAGTAAAGGTCCAATGCGTAATCATAGTTCTTTAGTAGCAGCTCCTTGTTGCCTAATCGGGCCTGTTTAGGATCATCTACCTGAGATGGTATAGAAATTATCTTTTAGAACTCTATGAAATTAATATATAAAAAAAAAATAATAATAATAATAATAATAATAATAAAAATAATAATAGTAAGAATAATAATAATAATAATAATAATAATAATAATAATAATAATAATAATAATAATAATAGTTAAAATACCAATCAAAGATAAGTGGATTTTAAAGATTGATCTTTTACAGTTTTGCCATTTGAGGTATGGATACCTGCGGCTGCAAGATCAGCCGAGGCCGTTTTGGACCCTTCCAAGGCTGCTTTTTTCCGGATGTTCTTCACGATCGGTAGATTCCCGAACACAAATGCGTGGAGGAAAATACATATAAATTCAAAAAATGTGGAGATGGCAAGAAACAGAACTGCATAATTGACAAAAACAGAAAAAGGCAAATATATATTAGATGAATTGATATAAAAAAAAAAATAAAAATAAAAAAAGCAAGCGATTAATATTATGAAGTACTCGTGAAAGCTACTGAGATAAAGATTACATTTTAAAGTGAGATAGTGACTTACTAACTCCCTTACGAAGACCATCTTCGGTTTTATCAAAAGCTGCCTTAGTGATTAGCCTCAAGCCAGAAGTTAATGCTCCCGATGCAGCCAAACCAGCAAAAAACGACTGAAAAATCCAACAAGAACGAACAACATAATTTAAACCAAACCACTTTCTTTTGCAAATTAGAAAATTGATTTATATAACTATATTTGTATACCTGCACGAATTCAGGGCACATAAAAGCAAGATCGCCGATTAGCCCACCCTGAAACAATGCATCCGCCACTCCAAATAAATAACAGTTAAAATACCAATCGAAGATACATGATTAGCCTCAAGCCTGAAATTAAACCTCCCAATACAACCAAACCAGCAAAAAACAACTGAAAAATCCAACCAAGAACGAACAACAAAATTTAAAGAAAACCAATTTCTTTTGCAAATTAGAAAATTGAGTAGGTAAAAAGTTTTACCAGTCAAACGCCTTAAAAATGTTTAAAGAGCTCAGTTCTCACAAACATCCTCTTAGTTTTTTTTTTTTTCTTTTAGAAAAAATTGCTCACAGTATTTACTTGAGGTGAAAATGAAAATATTTATTGTTGACTGTTCAAAACTAAAAATGCCAAATTACGAGGAATTTACAATTTCGAAAATTTCCTAGTAGAGCAATAAATTTGAAATTTGAGGTAATTTTCCATAGTACTTCTAACGTTGGTTTTGGAAGCCCCACTCAAAAATGATCTCAATCAATTTTCTTGTTGGGAAGCATCAAATTTGTTGCCACATGATCACAGTCCGATTTCTTGTTGAGAAGCATCAAATTTGTTGCAACACAGGTCAATTTCTAGATAGTACCACTTCACAATCAACTTCACAAACAGATTTTCTACGTACGCCACCAATAATTTTGGAAATTTGTCCTATACTTATGAATTTTGGAAAATAACTATTAACTTATTTATTTTAAGTAACAATTAAAGCAATATTTTTTTCTCAGAATTAAAAAATATATAAAAAAAATGTGCGGATTATTGGAACTACTAGTGTACTCCTCGTGCAACGCACGGTGGGGTTTATTCCTCAAACCCCTTTTTCTAAACTTTATTTTAGATATTTTTCCTTAAAAATTAATCATTTGATTATAATAAAAACAAAAAAGAGAAATACAAAGTGTAAAAAAAACAATATGTTATTAAACACTTGTCTATACACAACATTCTTGGTTTGGTAAAAATTTAAGTATTTGATATTTTTTTATTAAATATTAGTCACCTTTAACGCAGAAAATTCACGTTTTAGAAGCTCACAAGACTTCCCAATCATCCGTGTACATTCTATCCCAACATATGAAAGTGTCATATGTAGAAGCATCAGCGACTCCAAATTGAATCTTGTACCTTTATAAATGCGAAAGGCATGTCATAAAGTACCAAATAATATAATAAATAATTAAAAATTATTTAATATGCAAAAAAAAATAATTATTCTAATCGTGCAGTGCCATGTGTATGGGTGCACTTGGTGCAATGCATCTCGCCATCCTCACTCTCCATCTTGTTAATGCACCTTTGCACACATGGTACCACAAATTATCAATAATCGAGTCGATTGTGGAACGAAACTCATGTGTCCATAGCCTTTAAATAAAAATATTAAAATTTTAATTATAGCAACAAAATATGTATAACATATATATGGGATGATTTTATAAACTAAAATTGAAATATATTTTTTGTATTAGGGAATCAGATTTTAGCATTTATATTGAAAAAAAAATGAAATCTAATATATTATACGGAAATGAAATTTACTTTCCTAACTGTAGTGGACTTCAATTGTGCTACCTTATGGAATTAGATTTTAGCAATATTTCTTTTTGCAAATGAAGTGGAATTTTTTTTAGAATTTTAGTTTTGTCAAATTACTATCAATATGGGAAGAATCGTAAGTTATAGAATTTTAGTTTTGTCAAATTCATACCATAGGTTCAATTTGCATTGTATTAACAACGAAGACAAACGAATGGCCATCTCTAAGAATATGAAAACATATTCAAATCCCAAGTTATAGAATAGCATCAACTCACCAGCATAAATCCACAAATGCCTCCCACAAACAAGCGGTTATAGTCCCCAACATTGCGTGGAACCTTACTAATTTCCATTTCACGCCTATACAAAATGATGCCTCCGGTGTCAACTTCGTTATAAGCTGCGAACACATGGGGCACCTGCACGGCCTCAGTGCAGCGCTAAAGTTCCAGTACTGCAGAATACAACCCCCTGTAAAATGCAGGAAATTATTTCACAAAGAGAAACAAGAAGAAAATGGATGGATAACTACTACAGCACCTGTTATTTATTTTAGAAAAATGGAGGTTCTAAATCGCACAGTAGGTTCATTCTTATCAGAGATTTAACCACCAAGTATCTAGTAGTGCATAGTACATCAGTAACTTACTGCCTTGTTGTTTTGTCAGTAAATAAATATACCATGGTATGATGATAGTTGCGTACACTTCATCAAATATTAGAACACTGCTGAAAGGTTATGCCTATATCAATCAAAAGCCTCCAAGAGAAAATTCAAAACCTTCTTTTGTAAACATTTATGTGATAGTATCGTTGAAAAAATCCAATACATATATGAAATCGAAGAGACCTTCCCTAAAATTGGCAAGAGAATCACTAGATTTCATGAGCTAATCACACTTACATCCACACATCACACAATTCTCAGCTCCATTTCAAGCCCGGCTAAATTTATATCAATCTTACATTAAAATTTGTTTCTGAAAAGTTACCTGAGAACATTTCACCAACTGCCGCAATCGTTTCCCTCTCTCCAGACAAAGCCGTTTCTCCGTCTGTCAGCGCCTCGGGCTCAAGAGAAGATTACTTTAGCAAAGAGCATTCACGAAATTTACAAACATTAGATTATAAGAAAACACCATAGAAATGCGCTGTAGGGATTTTGATGAAATGAACACCATACAATCAATCACCAACAACAATTGATATTCCGAAACCCAATTTGTATCAGTCAGTGGACAAAAATCTCTCTCACACACATATATATTTTTTACCCGATGGCAGCGCCACCCCGCCACGGCGGCGGAGCACGTAGTGCAGGAAATCGCGATGGGTGGTTGGGAATAAGTGCGCAGAGGGGAGGGTTATAAATATTCTCAAAGATATGTTATGTATAGTGGAAAGCAAAAATTGGTTGGGAATTTGGTAGGTGGGACATGTAAAAGGAACATCTCAAGACTTAGGTAGATCACATAAATGCTGCATTTTTTTTGAATAAATTATTTATTCTACTTTCAAAATATATCTTTTGTGATATTTCGGAAATCTGTATTCAATCTTTGGTTGGTGTCTTGGTGAAGAGAGGCTCCGTATATTTTAATTTGAGTGCGTATTTGAATCTATACTTATATAATAAGTCATCTTATTTACTAAATTTAGTAGGAAAAAAAATTAAAAGACAATTAATGCATTCTATATATTTCCATTATTTTTCCAATTGTATTATTATTATATAATTAAAAAACCTGTATGCATTAATTTCATCCTTAATTGATATGTTTTGCAATAAAATCGGACAGATAGACTCCAAGTAAAAACATGTCTCATTTCAAATTTAAATTTAAATCTTAAAATTTCTTATTGTTTTGTTACATTAAAATCTTAAATAAATTATTTGTCATAAAATCGAACAAAATAATAATTGCATAGAATTCAAGTAAAAAAAACATGTCTCATTTAAAATTTAAATTTTAAAATTCTTTATCATTTTGTTACATTTCCGAGTGATTTGTTTCCCATAACATCAGACGGAATTAATAAAACGAAGCGCAGCGAAGTTCAATCTCTGGTACACTCAAAGATTGTAGTCCTTCGCTTACCCTCCGAAAAGAAATAAGTTGTATTCTAGCTGTCTGTGTCACGGCTTATATGCCATTTAAGAAGTCACTCGAGCAGAACTCAAAGCGATCATAGCTTTTCCTTCACTTCGCTTCGTTCTTAGAGTGGCCCAAACAAAAGAGATTAGCCTCTTGATCGAGTTCACACTCTTTTTTCGAATCAAAAAAAGGCCGAGTGTTCACACTAGGGGCGGTACCGTAATTACTTGGTTTGTTGCGTTCACACTTAAAGAGTTGGTTAATTACGGTACCGCCCCTAGTGTGAACACTCGCAGTATATAAACAATCGATATAATTGACCAGATCGGGATTTCTTCTTTTCCGAATCCTGGATCACAGTTACTGGGGGTAATCTTGAGGGTCTTCTATGAGGATATCCCCGAATCGTCGGTTCAGAGTTTAGCCTCTGCCTTATATACGATGATAGTGGCGTAAGGTGAGGATCGATGTAATTGAGATTGCGGGTCCGGAGGTAGCTCACTGATTGAACTGGCTTACATAATTGCATAGAATTCAAGTATGATTTCGAATTTATATTGAGGATGTTTAATAATTGCATAGAATTTCAAAGATGTTTATTTATTATAAAAAAATTAATTTCTAGAAAAACATTTGTGTATATTTTGTAGAATGTTTGTAGAAAATGTTTTACTTTAAATTTATTTACATAATTTAAATTAATTACATTAATAAATAATATTAACATACATTAAATATCTTAATTACATAAAACAAAATGAAGAAGAAGACTACATAAATAACTTGTATAAATAATAATAATGACATTATATTACAATAAATTTTATAATAAAATAATATGAGTATTATACGAGGAACAAGATTATGTAAAATTGTTATTTTTCTTATATCAAGGAATAAATATATATAATGAAATCAAATTTATATTATTATAAACATGTGAGCGAGATAATATATTAATTAATTTACGGGCTAGCGTTACCAGGCTCAAGTTTAATGTCTCGACAAAAAAGATGACGTTGATGAAAGAGGTAAAAAAATAGATGACCAAACTCTATTATTTGTTAGGCCTGAACTGACAAGCCCTATTGTCCACTCATTTAATATTTCCCGTGAATCGCACGAGCTACTTAACGGACAAGCTTTGTGGAAATGACTCATTTAATACTTATGTCTCGTGCATCGCACGGGCTACGTACTAGTTGATTGATAAATAGAGGATATATTAAATTTTTTTTAATAAATACTATTTTGGGTTCAAAGAGCTACTCAAATAAATTTTTTACAAAATAAATAAATTAGTGAAAATTAGAAATGAAGTTCTAAGTCTTTTGTTGGCTTACAGCGCGTATCCTCACCTCCACTGGGCATGGGCGCCTGGCTTGATCACGATATCCTTGGCCTCTTCCATTGTANTTGCTAACATTACACAAGTCATTTTTTTTTCACAATATAGACAGTTAGACACTAACCAATCGAGTAATTCTCAAATTTATTCAATGCGCACAAGTTGAGCAATCGTTCATTCAAATCATATGCAAGATTGAGAAAGATTACCATCTAATCCATGTAGGATGGACTGCATAGTTGCATTACATGTTTAGAGACTAGGAAAACCCTATACACCTGAAGAATTATTATTAACCTGGACTACTTACATAACCCTGATTACCTTAGAATGAACCAATGCCAATGATCCAAAGCCAGTCGAGCGCCACGCCTAAAAATATCCCGGCAAGTAAAAAAACTACTAACAAATTGCCCAACGCATTTTGCTCGGGTGCCTGCAAAAGTACCAAATCCCCATCCACTCAAATTAAACCCCAAAAATGATCATCGGATAAACAAAATCGAATTTTTTGTGATTTTCTTGTTTTTTTTCTTCTCTAAATTTTTCGACTAACCTTGTACCGTTTGGGAGCCACGGTCAGCACACAGACCGCTAAATACCTGTTTGTGAGTCCCAGAAAAGACGCCAAAAATATCATCCATTCTTGGTCTCCATATTTTGCCGAGAAGTAAAAACATGGGATGAGCAAGAATCGAGACAGGCACGCGAACATGAGGCCCTTTCTGGATTCGAGCTTTAGGCAATCTATAAGAGGAATGTATCATGCTATGAGGTCCGACAAGTTGAACATTGCAATGAGAACCACTGCATACCTGTAAACATTGAAAATTATACTTTGTGAGGCCCTTAATATTATGAAAAAGGATAATTTTTGTGATTGAACAGCAAAAAAAGCCAAAAGAGCATAGCAAGAACAACTAATGCTCAGTGTTATTGTGCTTGTTATGAACTTATGATCAAGTTTACCAAGATCCCAATTTGTGGTTGCCCGTGTTTTCGTATAAGAACCCAGGGAAAATCGAGAGTGTGAGTACAAATATCAAGTAAAGGTCCAATGCGTAATCATAGTTCTGAAGTAGCAGCTCCTTGTTGCCTAATCGGGCCTATTTAGGATCATCTACCTGAGATGGTACAGAAATTTTCTTTTAGAACTCTATGGAATTCATAAATA